CTACTTGAGCTAAGAGGCACACTCCTCACGAGTATCACTTTATGTCCCATAGTCCAGTCCAATCGCTGTCTGAGGAGTTGGCCTTGGAAATTGTTTTAGTTCTGGGCTGATAGAGAATCCAGGGGCTATGATTTCTGGGGTTCCTCCAGTCTCAGTCAGACCATAACGTCTGGTCTTCTTACTGGAATTTGAGTTCTGCACCCCATATTTCTGCTGCTCCATCAGGGACTCTCTGTTGTGTTCCCTGTCAGGGCAGTCATTGCTGGTAACTGGGCACTATCTAATTCTTCTGGTCTCAGGCTGATGAAGTCTCTTGTTTATGTGGCTCTTTCTGTCTCCTGGGCTAATGCTTTTCTTGTGTCTTTGGTGTTCTTCATTCTCCTTTACTCCAGGTGGTTGGGACCAATTGATGTATCTTAGATGACCTCTTGCAAGATTTTAAGACCCCAGATGCCACTCACCAAAGTAGGATGCAGAACATTTTCTTAATAATCTTTGTTATGCCAGTTAACCTAGATACCCCCTGAAAGCATGGTCCCGAGACCCCTACCCCTGCTGCTCTGTCTCTCAATGTGTTTGACTGTATTCAGGAAAATTCTTAGCTTTGGATTAGTCCAGTTGTGCTGACTTCCCCTGTAGTGTGTGCTGTCCTTCCCTTACCCTAAGATGATTCTTATCTACTATCTAGTTAGTAAATAACACTCACCCTCCCTCCCCACCCTCGTGACCATCAAAAAATGTTTTCTTCTGTGTTTAAACTTTTTCTTGAGTTCTTATAATAGTGGTATTATACAGTATTTGTCCTTCTGTGACTGACTAAACTGACTCTACATAATAAGTTCCAGTTTCGTCCATGTTATATGAGGTTTCACGGCTTCATCATTGTTCTTTATCGTTACATTGTGTGGATATACCATAATTTGTTTATCCATTCATCCGTTGATGGGCACCTAGGTTGTTTCCATTTTTTCCTATTGTGAACAGTGCTTCAGTGAACATGGGTGTTCATATATCTATTCATGTTATGGCTCTTATTTCTCTAGGATATATTCCAAGGAGCGGGATAGCTGGATCGTATGGTACTTCTATTTCTAGCTTTTTGAGGAAGCACCAAATTGATTTCCAAAGTGGTTGTACCATTTTACATTCCCATCAACAGTATATAAGTGTTCCAGTCTCTCCACAACCTCTCCAGCATTTATTATTTTGTGTTTTTTGGATTAGTGCTAGCCTAATTGGGGTGAGATGATATCTCACTGTAGTTCTGATCTGCATTTCTCTAATGGCTAATGATCCTGAGTATTTCTTCATGTGTCTGTTAGCCAACTGAATATCTTCTTTGGTGCAGTGCCTGTTCATATCCTTTGCCCATTTTTTAATCAGGTTATTTGCCTTTTTGTTGTTGAGGTTTTGCAGTATCTTGTAGATTTTAGAGATTAGATGCTGATTGGATTTGTCATACCCAAAATTTTTTCCCAATCTGTAGGTTGTCTTTTTACTCTTTTGCTGAAGTCTTTTGATGAGCATAAGTGTTTGATTTTTGGGAGCTCCCATTTATCTAGTCTCTCTTCTGGTGCTTGTGCATTGTTACTTACGGTTCATATTGTGTTTATGCCACGTATTAGGGCTCCTAGTGTTGTCCCTATTTTTTCCTCCATGATCTTTTTTGTTTTCCATTTTATATTTAAGTCTTTGATCCATTTTGATTTAGTTTGTGTGCATGGTGTGAGGTTTGGGTCTTGTTTCAGTTTTTTGCAGATGGATATCCAGTTATGCCAGCACCATTTGTTAAAGAGACTGTCTTTTCCCCAATTAACAGA